CCCCCCCGTGACCTGCGCTCACTTGGTAGACACGGACCCTGTAGCCGAGTTCTCAATCTGGCTGGAAGTTTCCACTCACAGGAAGATGGGACCTTTCACTCCACAAGCTGGAGTGGAGATCAGTCCTGATAGAGGAACTAGACCCCTTACCCTCAGGCATTTCTAAGCTGTTTTTTTTTTTTTTTTTTTTTTTCTTGGGGGCCCCGGTTTTAAATAAATATAATCCGTGGTTTAAATAATAAATAATATGGGGGAGGTGGAGAGAGGCGAAAAAGCAGGGGGGAGGGCACACGATGGCCATGCTGCAATCCGGCCTCCAATTTCTCTCAGGATTTTGGGCATGTAGACACAGGCCCACTGTGTTCAAACTACTAGGTCTGGGATTCAAACAACGTGGTTGGTCACGTGGGATCCAGCCGGCTAAATCACTGCACCACCCCCAGCCCTAAATCCTGTCTTTTTACAGCAGCCATAAATCTAACCCACGAAGTTGATAATTAATTCTCTTTTCCTGAACCTCTCCCATGTTATTTCTTTGGGCCCTGAACACAGATCCAAGTTTGTCATTCAAGAGTGGTGCAGAGCCTGGCCCCTGCCTCCCATGCATGGGGTAGGGGTTGGAGGGCTTGAGAAGGTGTTTGGACCTGAGGAAATAGTTATGGTTTCCTAATTGATCTCCTGAGTTTTGCACATGTGGCCTGTCACAGTTTCCCCACCAGGTCTGCTTACTGTCTTCAGTATAAATACCCTGATGGCTTTTCTGACCTTATTCTCTGGACATCTCCAGTTCCGTGTGTTTAATCCTTATCCCATGCTGATTCACTCATTTATCCAATCAGCTTCATTTCTGTGACATGCTATACAGTTTGTCAACAACCCCAAACCCCCATACTTCCTGAGCATCAACCCTACTGCTCATACTAATGCTTCATTCTTTGTTCCTCCATCAGTCTTTTTTTTTTTTTAATTTTTATTTTTTTAGAGATTTTTGCTATAGGGCAAGTGTGCTCCCCAGAAAGAGACAGGCAGAAAGCAAGAAATCACCCCCCCCCCGGGGGAATAGCCACACTGTAATCCCTTCTCTATTCTCCTCTAGGGATTGTGGGCATGCATGCACACACACTCAGCATGTGGTTTAAGCCACTGGGTCTGGAACTCAAACTGTGGTCGACTACATGTGAGTCCAGCGATGTAACCATTACAGTTGGTCCCCCTCAGTCAGTCTTTTCTATCAAACTTGGACTTCCTGGAGGACAAGGACAGGTTCTGACTCTTCTCTTAGTGAAGGCTTGACACTTGCTTAGAGAAAACTTTAATTAGTAAACTACAGTCTCCCCATCACCTTCATACCATACCCCATATCTTGATCCAAGGGGTTGGAGGAGAGTTTGCCAGATCCAGTAGCTCTTATTACTCCTCCAATCAAGACCCTGGAATTCTGTAAGTTTTTCTTTTCTTTTTTCTTTTTTTTTTTTTTTTGAAGGTTTCTGAAGGCTAGGAGGCAGCCCTAGCTTGTACCTGGGACTGGTAACTTGAACTGCAGGTTTCCGATGACAGCGCAGACTCAGCATCAATAATGGAAAACAGGTACGGCCTCCTGCTTCAGGGTTATTCCCAACGACTGCCCTTCCTGTCCTGTGCTCCAGTCTTCCTTAAGCAGGAGCCTCTAGCCCAGGTAAGCAGGGCCCTTGAGTGTGGGTTCCCAAGCACACCTGTTCAAGTCCACCACATCGCTCACCTATTCACACCCATTCACACTCTCCCCTACTTTCATTTTTATTTCCCCCCACCAGGGGCCTTGTAAATAAGCCTATAGGTCAGTCAGATCTGGAGGAGAAGGGGAGGACACGGGAAAGGAGACGGCAGTGCATCTCTCATAGGGACCCTGGAGAAGAGGGCTGAGTGGTCGTAAATATATGCTTCTGAGGCAAATTCTGAGAGAGCCTAGGGGAAGAGAGGAAGTTGAGTGAAAGGAGATGAGACTGGAAAGGAAATACAGAATGGAGGGTTCCTCCTACCCTTAGGAAAAAGAGTCATGGGGTGGGAAAAAGGACATCTCACCCTAATACCCTTTGGAGTGTTTTGTCTTTTCCCTAAGTCAAAACAGTGACAGGGAAGCAGTTTCTGATGACAAAGCTGTGCTCTTTTGCTACACACTGACAGATCAGAGATCAAGCAGATAGAGTAGGGGTGGGGGAGTGAGAATGTCCCAAACTGGCGAAGCGGTCCTAAAGGAGTGACTCCTGGAAGGAGAGGGAATTGGGCGGGTGGAGCAGTGTGAAACGGGACCAGGAATGGGCACTGGGTAGAAGTGGTTTGGGTTTGGGTGCTGGATGTGGTCAGAATAGAGTCCTTGCAAAATGGGCTTGGAGTCATACCAACCTGGACTCAAATCCCAGTTCTGCTGTGTGACTTTGGGTGAAAGACTTAGCCCTTCTAAGCTAAGTTTATGAAACTTCTGAGCCGGTTTATAAAATAGAAGGCTATTAGTTGCTCCCAGTAAAGGCTGCCCAAACAACAGGCAAACAGTGGGTGTGTGTTTTCTTTCTAGCCCGGAGTCTAGGCAGGGACCATGTCCCCTGCCATTGCACTAGCCTTCTTGCCACTGGTGGTGACATTGTTGGTGCGGTACCGGCACTACTTCCGGCTGCTGGTGCGCATGGTCTTGCTACGGAGCTTCCGAGACTGTCTGTCAGGGCTGCGGATTGAGGAGCGGGCCTTCAGCTATGTGCTCACCCACGCCCTGCCCGGGGACCCTGGTCACATCCTCAACACCCTGGACCACTGGAGCAGCCACTGCGAGTACCTGAGCCACATGGGGGCTGTCAAAGGTCAGTGTGCCCTAGCCTTCTGTTCCAGGAAGTCTTCTCAAGATGGTGAAGGAAGATCTGAGATTGGTCACTGCCTTACTGGGTGAATTGGCCAAGTTCTTGATCCTCTGTGGGTCTTTTGTTTTTCTTATTTGGAAATACGGGGCCTGGAGCAGGGCATTCGCTCACTCAACAAACATTTATTGCCACCTCTTTTGTACCAAGTGTGCGCTAGGTGTTGGGGGGTGGGGGTTAGAGGTCACAGGAATAAATCAGCCACAAACGCTGGCCTCAAATAGGGCATATCACTCGGGAGGATAACCATCGGAGCACAAGGCTTATAGCTTTGTAATCAGGAGTTTTTCTCCCCACGTCACATTCAGGGTAGCTGTGTGCCTGCATGTATCGCACACAAGCTCCTACCACAAGTACTTAAGAGTCTCATCTTAGAAATGCATTCAATTCCAAGATCAGAAAAATATTCAATGAACAACAAAAAGGGAATGAAACTGAAGTCCTAACAGAGACCTCTCAGGAGCCTGAAAGAGACAGGGTGGTTGTTTCTGCCCAGGCCCTCATGGAGGAAGAACATTTGAACCGAGACTGGAAGGAATGATCTTGAGTTGGCAAGGAAGATGGTAGTGGAGGTGGGGGGGACATATGCACAGATGTGGCTCGCAGAGTCCAGACAACTGATTCTGGGTACAGTTGTTAGGGAGAGCTGTAATGGGCTGTAGGTGGAAAGGGTTGAGAGCAGAACCTGGAAAAGTAGGATAGGACCAGGTCCAGGAAGGTCTCAAATGCCAGGCTGAGTATCCTAAATTCAGTCCCAAAGGCCTTGAGAATCATAGGGACCAGTGAGTGACAGGGGTGGATTTGTCTGAAGGATTACTTGTGGCTGGTATGTAGACTGGAGGAGACAGGAGGACTGGGAGACAGCTAGGGCTTTAAGGGCTGAAACCTGAGCTGGTTGGGGGCTGCAGCGAGGCAGGTAAGACCTCATTCTACCAGAGAGGCCTTGCATCCAGCTCCTGTGTCTTTGGCAACAGTTGTCTTCCACCGTAGGTCAGATCCTGACGCGGCTGGTGGAAGAGAAGGCCCCTGCTTGTGTGCTGGAGCTGGGCACCTTCTGCGGATACTCCACACTGCTTATCGCCCGTGCACTGCCCCCTGGGGGTCGCCTTCTCACTGTGGAGCGGGACCCACGCACAGCAGCAGTGGCTGAAAAACTCATCCGCCTAGCTGGCTTCGACGAGTGCACGGTCAGCTCCCCACTGTCCCAGCCCAATCTCTTCTCTGCCACCCTGGGTCTTACCTGGGTCTTGCTAGGCCTTCCTTGTGTGGCACTCCCCCCTAAAGAGAAGGAAACGGCTCCACTTCGGGGACTGTGGTCCTGGAGGGTGTGTGAGCTCCTGTCCCAAGGCATTTATACATATTTTCGGCTAGATTACAATAGGCAGCTAAGAGAAAGGTCCTTGGATCCTGGCCAATCTGGGTCCAATCTTTTATTTGTCTATCTTTTAGTTGCCAGAGCAGATGTGCCCTTGTCAGAAAGAGAGAAAGAAAACAGCCCCCATGGGGCACACTGCAGTCCCTTCTGCATTTCTGCATCCTGTCAGTATTTGGGGTACACACAATGACCAAAAAGTTTTTCAAGCTGCTGGGACCAGAATTTGAACTGCATAGTTAGCTACATGGGATCTGGCTCCCTTAACCACCAAGTCACAGGGCCAGCTCTGGGTTGAATCTGTGTGTACTTCTAGTTAGCTGTGTGACCCTTTTTTTTTTTTTTTCTGGAGAGGTTTTTGCTCTAGGGAGTGTAGACTCACCAGAAAGTCAGAGACAGAAAGCAAGAAATCACCCCCCCAGCAGGGATGGCCACACTGCAATTCCTTCTCCTCCATTCTCCTCTCAGAATCCTGGGCATGCATGCACGTGCACCAGGCGTGAGTTTAAGCCACCGGGTCTGGGACTCGAACTGCGATCAACTACATGGGAGTCCAGTGACATAGCCATTACGCCAACTGCTGGTCCCAGTATGTGTCCTCTGATACGCTCCTGAGCAGAATGGAAATCACAATACTGAGCCTGATTTCTTGGGTTCTGTGGCCAGAGGAAATGTGAGATCACCATGGGGCCAGGGGTCAGAGTGAAATAAGCCAGATTCTGGTGGGGTCTGGGCTGGCAGAACCGTCCCTCCCTCCCTTAGCCCCGGTCCTGCTACCCCTGCAGGTGGAGCTCATCGTGGGCAGCTCAGAGGAGGTGATCCCACTCCTGCGAACCCAGCACCAGCTGAGGCGGGCAGACCTTGTGCTCCTGGCACACCGGCCCCGATGTTACCTGCGGGACCTGCAGCTGCTGGAGGCCCATGTGCTACTGCCAGCTGGCGCCACTGTGCTGGCTGACCACGTGCTGTTCCCTGGTGCCCCCCGCTTCCTGCAGTATGCCAAGAGCTGTGGCCGATATCGCTGCCGCCTCCACCACACTGGCCTCCCAGACTTCCCCACCATCAAAGATGGCATAGCCCAGCTCACCTATGCCGGACCTGGTTGAGATCCAGGCCCAGGGGTACTCACAGATACCCCCACCCCCACCTAACCAGAGACCTCAGAAACCCCCCCTCCCCTCCATTTGGAGCCTGACACATGCTGGGCTCAGGGCTGGAGAGGCTCTCTTCTCATCTCTACCTGCTCTGGCCTCCACACTAACCTGAAGTGTCAATTCTCCCAGGCTGCTTGGTCCCACTGACCCCCTCCTTCCAGGGAGCTACAGGCTCAGCAAGAGGCCTGAGTGCCCAACCTGGCTGTCACTGACCCCCCCCTCCCCTCCATTTGGAGCCTGACACATGCTGGGCTCAGGGCTGGAGAGGCTCTCTTCTCATCTCTACCTGCTCTGGCCTCCACACTAACCTGAAGTGTCAATTCTCCCAGGCTGCTTGGTCCCACTGACCCCCTCCTTCCAGGGAGCTACAGGCTCAGCAAGAGGCCTGAGTGCCCAACCTGGCTGTCACTGACATGCTAGGTGACTCCAGGGGACATGCTGCCTGCTCTCTTAACTCTAAGGAAGCTGGTTAGAAGACCGGCAGGGACCTCCCAGTTGTGACCACAGAAGGCCTCCCCTACCCAGCCCATGCCATTCTGGATGAGATTCAGAGGAAAGGGTAGACAGTAAGTCAGAGGCACCACAGGAATGGCTGCGGGCAAGCTGGGCTGGAGGAAATGGGACAGGAGCCTGGACTCAGGGCCAGAGTCAGCACGGACCTCCCAAAACCTGGCCTGTCTGGCCAATTAGGTTTGCCCAATGTCCCTTGAGTGTCTTTTCCTCAAACCCCAAGAAAAGTTGCTGGATTCCTCTGGGCCCCACTAACAATTAGGGAATAGACATGGGGAAAAATATATATCAGTCCTTTGTCTTTATTAAACAAGGTTATAAAGAGACCAACCCTGGAAACCAGGGATGAGGTACTGGCCAGGATGAAGGGGTGGGCTCAGGCCCTCAGGATGAGCCAGACTGAAGGCCTGGGAGAACCAGGAGCCCAGGTCCTCACAGCAGCTGAGGAGGTACTTGAGGATAAGCTTTCAGGCGCAGGGGCCATCAGCTGGTTCTGTGGAGTGGAAGTGGGATGCAGGGCAGGTGGGCTGGCCTGGAATCTCCCTGAGGCCACCGTGGCCTTGACTATCTAGATCATCCACTGGTCCTGATCCTGTTCGTTGCCTTCCATGTCCACCTGGAGAGGAGGCTGGGTGTGGGTGGGGAGAAGCCTCAGCCAGCCTCGGTCCCAGAGCTTGTCCCTGGCTGGATCCAGGGTTTCTGTGCCCAGTGGCCATCAATGAGGTTGGGGCAGGGGCCCAGGAACAGAGGCCCTCCCCACACCCTCACCTACCTCATTGACTTCTCCATCATCAGGTGATTCATTGTAGTCATTCATCTCATCCATGTCCTGCATGTCCTCATCATCCTCTGAGTCCTCTTCACTATCCTCATCTTCATCATCATCTTCCTCTTCCTCATCGTCATAGTGCTGGTGGGGCAGAGGAGAGCCTGAGGCCTTGCAGGCCTGCCTAGGCCAGTTCAAAAGCTGGCCTAGTTGGAGCCTCTCTCAGGGGCCAACAAATGACCTCTGACTCCCTGGACTAAGTCTAGCAGGCTGGTGCATGCTCTGCCCAAGGCCTACCCCATCTGCCTCTCCTTCCTGGACTCCATTCCAGAGCTAGAACCACAACTGCTCTGGGTCAGGGGAGGACATTCAGAATTAGCAAAGGCTTAGTTCTTTCTGGACCCCAAAGAGGCCGCACCCACTGGGGCCACTTACCTCAGAGGCTGGCTTGCCAATTGGTACCAGGTTGTTGTCTTTCTCTGCAATGCTTTGGAGCTGTGGGCAAAGATGGGGAGAAGTGGGAGAAGGAGGCCAGGGCCCAAGGAGGTCAAGTCAGGAGCACTCGACTGGCCCAATCTGCCCCCATGAAGACCTCCAAGTGTGGAGGACAGGTTCTTCCAGTTCTTGGGAAGATTCAATCCCTTTTTCTCTTGTCATCTGCCACTTACTATAAACTTGACCCAACTACTTATACTTTCTGAGCTTTGGATTCCTCATGTAAGTGTGATGAGGGTGAAATGAGTGGCTTATCAGTCTAGAACATGGCATCTCTAGGTCCTCAAAATTATTATTTCCTATGCTTGAGGGTTAAGAGCTTGGGCTCTAAGCTGGCCCAGAAGAACCATGGCTCCCCCAGCAAATTAGGACATCATGAAGATGAGAACCTCAGCATCCTGGATCCTACCCTGATTATTCTGAGCTCTGAGGGCAATAAGCTCTTCCAGGGCAGATCTCCAGGGTAAAGCTGGGTTACTGCCCAGCAGAAGTGGGTCTTTGACTGTGTTGCGCCAGGTCTTCACTCACCCAGGCCTGATGCTGCTGTTCCTGCTGCTGCAGTTCTGTCTCCTCCACACAGGGTCGATCCAGGTTAAACCACAGCGTCTCAGTCACACGGGGGAAGAGTGAGGGGAACAAGGTGGACATGGCTCCTAGACTGTGGGAAAGGGTCAGGTGAATGTGTTTTGTTTGGGGTTTGTTTTTATTTAGTTGTCATTTGGTTTAGGAAAGGGGTGGAGTGCGAGGCAGTAGGAAGCAACCCTTCCCTCTAGGAATCAGACAGACCTGAGTTTGAGTCTTGGCTCCACCACTTACTAGCCGCTTGACTGTGGCCAAGTCACTTAACCTCTCTGGGCCTCAGTTTCCTCATCTGTAAAATGGGTACAACAACAATTACACCATCTTCAAAGTCACTCTGACAGTAATGGATAAGTAAAGCTGTAGGCTGTTCAAAGAGAGAAGGGAATAGAAGCCAAGTGCAGAAACAGGAATTTGGAATGCACACTGGCATTACAAAATTGGACAAAATTTAAGCTACTGAAATTACCTTCTGCAAACACTAAAACCTACTTTTTGCCTCTTTATGGTGGTTCATACCACACCACCCAGGGTAAGGAATTTAGGACACTAACCACCTCTCTCAGGACCACAACCAGGTTAGGAGGTGAGAATGAAGGGTGGTGTGCCATGGGCAAGGAGGGTTCAGTAATACATTCTAGAAGGCATGAGTACATGGTTCAATAAATAGATGGAAGATGGAACGAACAAGCATGTAAAAGAACAAAATGAGCTTTGATTGAGCAGCTGTGATAGCTGATCAGAAAGGTACCAGAGAATAGAAATTAAAATCTCTTAGCTCACAGAGAGGAACACTGAGGCCCAGAAACTGGCTTTAGGTAACACAGTGAGCCAGGGCTTAAAACTCCCGCGGGGAAGGGACCCAGGCTGGGCACTAGTGAAGACCAGCAAAAAAGGATCTAAGTCAGTTCCTGCGTTTGCCCTTATCTGACGGGCACAGGCCCAGCAGCTGCATTTCCCTGGGCCTCGGCCTGGCAGCCCGTGTTAACAGGTCCGAGAGCGTCCACCCTCACGTCCCAGAAGTACTGACAGGCCACAGAGTGGGGTTCGAACGCCCAACCCACAGCCGCAAAGCCACCGCCCAGCCTTTGGCCATTATGATAATGACCATGCAGCTGACCAACAGAAAGAAGGCAGAGGTGGGACTCAGGCAGGAGTGTGCCCTTATAGGGTCGCTAAACGCGACAAAGAGCCGGGCCTGGGCAGGGCCAATTAACTGAAAGAAATGCTGGCTGACAGGAAGTGAAACCAATGAGTGATGGAGCTTGTGTAATAAGGTGGGGCTTAGTCGCGAAGAAGCGGCCAATGAGCTGGAGCTCTTTAACGGAAAAGGAGTCTAAACACGGTGCACTGGGGGAGGCGGTGGGTTTCTCTCAGGGAAGGAAGAAAGAAGGGGCAGAATGGGCCGCAACATCGCTTCTGTACTTACCGCGCCGGGAAGCGGCAGCGGGCAGCCACCCGGAAGCGCTTCCCTAGCCTGAGCGGAAGAACCCACCAGAATCCGGGACCAGGCAAACGCATGCGCTCTTGGCCTCCTTTTGTTTTCCCGCTCCCGCCCCCTCCAGGCCGGATGTGACGTGACCACACCTTAGTCACGCTGTTGCAAAAGGAGGTTTGCCGAGCCTACCTACTGGCCACGCCCTGTGCCTCCGCCAATCGGCCTTTCCCGCCTGACCCAGCTACAACTGGCGCATTTACTCAGCCTCTCGGTCCACCGGGAAATCTTGATTGCTAGGAAATCTTGATTGCTAACTCCTTAAGATAAAGCGCTGGCAGCAATCTGCAGTAGTGTAAGGGCTGCTTGTCCTGCTGTGCCCCAGGAAAATTAACCTGCTTCCACCCCAGAATCCCGGGTGATTTTACCTCCTTCCTGCTTGGCCTCAGCCTCAGTTTCCTGTTTGACCACATTCATCCTTTAATGAAAGCCTTGAGCAAAAATGTTTTGAGGTCCTATTATTGTATATCCCAGGCTCTGTTAGAAGCTGGGGCAAAACGTCTGAACATACTCGCCGTTCCCAAAGATTTCACAGTCTAGTGGGAAGCCAGACCTTGCAACACCGGCAGTTAACTCACCGGTCTGGCAAGGTGGCCAGTCCAGTTCTGACACGAGTCTTCCTGGACCAGTCAGCCTCAGGCGCAGCATTCTGCTGCTGAGGAACTAAACTGCCCTCCAGGCCTGGCTCGGATCCCCCGCGTGATCAGCCTCCTCACCGCTCCCACTCCTTTGCTGACTCCTCACTTCTGGAAACTTCTGACTCAGCCTCCCCTCCGGAGATCCTCATGCCTTCTAGTAACAGAGAGCCTTCAAGCCAGTCCCCGCTATGTGTCACCTGTCTCTTCAGTTCCACTTCTGCCCGAACTCAGATGTTTGAACTTCGGCGAGTCCTTTCCTCTGTATGGACCCAGTTTCTTCTTCAACCGGCATCATTATCTCAGTCCAGCCTCCGATCCTGAGCTGATGTTAGATTGATTAGATACAGTTGTTTAAGAGGCCCTGTCCTGTACATATCAAATGATTATGTTGCCAAGCTCTGCTCATTATAAAGGTTTTCATTAAAGAGTAAAATATGCCTCTCAGAAATGCCACCCTTTCATTAAATATTTATTTGGTTCATCATAATATATGTCCCTCATTATTCTTATATTTAAAAAAAAAAAAGAACTTAATAACCAGAGTGCATGTGCAGTTGCCAGAGAGAGACAGAGGGGAGAAGAGAGCATTCCTCCCCATCCCTCATGGGGCATGGGCATACTGCAATCCCTTCTTCATTTCTCCATCCTGCTGGCATTTGGGGCACATGTTTTTTTAAGCTGCTGAGCCCAGATTTGAACTGCAATCAGACCCTGTGGTATCCAGCTTTCTTAACCACTAGGCTGGGGCAGATCCTACCTTTCACTATATATTTTTTTAATTTATAGACCTATTTATTTAATTTCATTTGTTATTTATTATTTTTTTAAATTGACCAGAGAGAGAGAGGCAAAGCAACAAAGAGAGAAAGCAAACTGCCAGGTCGGAGACTCTAATTACAGTCAGCAGTGTGGGAGTCCAATGCTCGAATCACCACAACTTGCCAGCCCTATCCACTATTCTAAGTAGTGAGTATACAGTAGTGAACAAAACAGACCAAAAAAGGTCTTTCTCCTGCAACTTCCATTCTAACGAGAGAGATAAACAATAAAGAATATGGATAAATAAAATATAGACAGTCCCCAACTTACCATGGTTTAACTTAAAAATTTTTCAGCTTTATATGGTACAAAATTGATATGCGGTCAGAAGAAATCATACTTTCTCCATGAATCATTCTGTTTTTCACTCTCAGTACAGTATCCAATAAACTATGTAAGGTTTCAACACTTCATTATAAAGTAGACTTTGTGGTGGATGATTTTGCTCAACTTTAGGCTAATGTGAATGTTCTGAGTATGATGAAGGTAGGCTAGGTGAAGCTACGATGTTCGGTAGGTTAGATGTATTAAATGTATTTTGAGTTACAATATTTTAAATTTAACAATGGGTTTATCTGGACATAATCCCCAATTGTAAGTCAAGGAGGATCTTTAGTTTGAAGATTGCAGTAAGTACTGAGAAGAAAAAAAATCAGAGAAGTGGGAATAAAATGTTGGCTAGAGAAGCATTTGTTTTACATGGGGAGGGCCAAAGAAGTCACTGGGAAGGTGATTTTGAGCCAAGGTCTGATGGGAAAGAAAGAGAGGAGAGAGAGAGAGAGAGAGAGAGAGCACCTTCTGAGTTTTGGAGAGGAGCATTTCATGGAGAGAGAACGGCAACCCAAAGGGCCTAGAATGCCTAGAGCATAGGGTCCTACCGGGAGAGCAGGAGATGAGAATCAAAAGGTTGCAACTGCCAGGTAAATGTGGCTATCTGATAAAGCCAGGACCGTGGCTCTTACTCTGTGTTAGGGAGCCAGTGAGGGTTATGAGTAGAAGATTCACACAATCTGATTTACATTTTAACAGAGTTACTCTTTTCTATAAAAAATAGACTTGGGGATGGCTCTGAGTGGTTATGTACTGCTCAAAAGAAGCCAGGTCTCACATGGTGACTGTGGTTCAAATCCCCTGTCCCAGTTGACCTGAAACATGCCAGACACATGCTCAAAAACCCAGGATCCAGTGGGATGATGAATTGGAGGAAGGGGATTACAGTGTGACTTATGGAGGGTGCTCTGTTCTTTCTCCCTCTCTCTGTTTCTTTCCCACTCTCATATGCAAGCATACATGCTCTGTCATGATTAAAGAGGAGAAAAAAAAAAGTTAAAATAAATTCAAAGGCAATGGCCAAAGCAGGGAGACCAGTGGGAGTGTATCATAAATAATCCAGAGGTAGTGGGTGATAAGTGGTTGACTTTTGGATATATTTAGAAGGGAGAGACTATAAGATTTGCTGGCAGATTGGATGTTGAGGAGTATCATAGTAAGAAAAGAGACAAGATTCGAGGCCTAACAACTGGAAAATTGAAGTTATCATTTTTTGAGAAGGGAAAGACAAGGGAGATGCTTTTTGATGTGTTGGGGGGTGTTTTTTTTGTTGTTGTTGTTGTTTTTAGATTTTCGCTGTAGGGCGTGTGCACTCACCAGACAGACAGAGAGAGACATAGAGACAGAAAGCGAGAAATCACCCCCCAGAGGGGATGGTCACGCTGCAATCCCTTCTCCTTCATTCTCCTCTCGGGATCTTGGGCACGCACGCACACACGCCCGGCGTGAGTTTTAAGCCACCGCGTCCGGGACGCGAACCGCAGTTGACTACGTGGGAATCCAGTGACATAGCCATTACGCTAACTGCTGGTTCCCTTGAGGGGTGTTTTTGAACTCTGTTTTGGGTTTAGAGTTTGAGATGCCAATTAGAGTAGAGATGCTGGGAGGCGAAGGCATGTGGGTCTGCAGGTTGGGGGGGATCTGAGCTGGATAGATCAGTTTGGGAGTCATCAGCACGTAGCTAGTTTAAAGCCATGAGACCAGACGAGATCACGAGAGAGTGAGTGTGGATGGAAAATTATTTCCTCTACTATTTAGAATTTAAGGAAACTAGGAGAAGGAGCAAACCAGACAGAGAAAGAAGGCCAAAAAGATAACCAGAAAGCCAGGCAAGATAGTGGTGTCCTGAGAACCAAGTAAAGAAAGGCTATCAGGAAGAAGAAAGAAATCTAGTACAACTGATCCTGCACGAAATATGTTTCTGTGTGATTTCTCAGGGAACTATAAGTTCCTTGGGGACAGAGACTAGGGCCCAGTCTGAACTGGATTTCTCATCTGCTTCTCCCGTGACCAATGTTTCTGTTAGTCTCCCCTCCTTCTGAGGTATGATAGGATCATACTTCAGCGCCCCCCACTCTTTTGCCTCTTGTTCTTCCTGCTGGAAATTCCCCAGTAACACAGAATTTCTTTTTCTTTTTTTTTTTGGAGAGGTTTTTGCTATGGGGCATGTACACTCACCAGAAAGACAGAGAGAGACAGAGACAGAAAATGAGAACTCACTCCTGGGGCAGTGGCCATGCCGCAATCCCTTCTCCTCCATTCTCCTCTCTGGATCTTGGGCACACACGCACACGTGCCTGGCATGAGTTTAAGCCACTGGGTCTGGGACTTGAACCGCTGTCTACGTGGAAGCCCAGCAACATAGCCATTATGCCAACTGCTGGTCCCAGAATTTCTTACCAAGGTCTCAGGCACATTCAACAAGTCATGGTGACTGATGAGCAGGTGACATTCTTAGTGCCAAATGAGTACCCCAGATACCTTGCTAGATCCTGGGGACAAAGAGATAAAGCAGAAATAACGTCTGCCCTAGAGAGAAGTACCAGCTAGTGAGAACTGTGACAATGATAGGGAAGGGTGGTCAATGTTCAAATCAATGTATGTAGAGAGTGCTATGAGAGCACAGAGGAGGCAGAGATGAATGGGCCCTGGACAAACTAAACTAAGATTTTTGTTCCAGAGAAGGAAGCATCTGAATGGCCTTTGAGGGGTGAGTAGGAGTTAAGCTACTAAC